GATGGGAATTCAATGACCACATCTGGCAAAATATCTCGGCTGAAGGTAGAGATTTTATTTCGAAATTGCTCGTTTATCTACCATCTGGTAGAATGGATGTTAAAACAGCACTACGTCACCCATGGTTCCATCTTTTGGAGCGACGACGTGATGATGAATATCAAATTACAACGGATCGCCTACGCAACTATCACAATATGTATCGCGATTGGTATTCAAATGCATCGTGTCGCAATTATTATCGCCGTCGACCTATTTCCGGTGCTTTTACACATCCATCACGAATGGTATATCCACCTGATAACTATTATTTTATTTTAAATTAATTGTATTCTTTTCTTTTGTGATTCTCCCCTTAGGTATATCCACCAGGCGATTATTATACACCAGAACCTACACCAGAACCAGTGCGCGAACCTCGAAAACGTATTCCATGGGAAGATAAATTAAATAAATTCCACCATCCAGATTACGAACTTGGTTTGATTAGTAGTGAAAGTCATTACCAATATGGTCCCGATACATATCTATTGCAGTTGCGTGATACCGATTTCCCAGTGCGTTTGCGTGAATACATGAAAGTTGCACATCGACGTTCACCAGCTTTCGCTCTTAATGAGTATGGTGTTGATTACAGTTTGCCAATTATTCGGGAAAGAAGACGCTTTACTGATATTATGGATGAGGTATGATACGTAACATTCATTCAAGATTGTTTAAAGTATTTCGTTTAACAAATTATTCATTAATCTATTTGATTAGGAAATTGATGATGAACGTAAAGCAAGAATTAATCGATATGGTTCTAACGACAGTTACACAATTCGCCGTCTTCGTACTGAATTGGGAACACGATTGGATTCGTACAATGAAGCCGAAGCGATGATTGAATCGAAACGTGAAGGATATCCACCATTCTTCCGAGAAAAGCCACAGCAATTGGCTATAACTGACAATGAGCCAGCTCAATTGCAATGTTTTGCTGTGGGTGATCCAACACCAAATGTTCAATGGTTCAAGAACGATATGGTGTTACAGGAAACTAAACGTATTAAGATTATCATTGATGACGATGGTCGTTCAATTGTTCGTTTCCAACCAGCTTCTCATTACGATGTTGGAATTTACAATGCAAGGTACGTATACAGGCATTATAAAGATACCGTTTTTTTAATAATAATAAAAACACTATAAAGGAGTTATACAGAAAATAATTTTCTTTATAAAAATAAAATGTTTGCCGGTATATTGATACTCGAAAAACAAGGGAATATTAGCTGGGTGGCTCCAAGAGAAAAGACAAAAGAAATTTATTCAATAAAAATACCGTAACATATTTTATTTCGAAAATAACAAATTTATTATATATTGTAAAAAATAAAGATCACTCTTAATAGCCAAATTCGATGGATAAAAAGTGAGATAAAACATTTTCTCAAACGGAAAAACTGAATGAGGCAAAAAATTAATTAATTAAATGATTTAAATCATTTGATCAATTTGTCGCCTCCTCTTGTTTGTGAGAGATGGAGAGAGAGAGAGAGAGAGAGAGAGAGAGAGTGCAAGGAGCATAGAGTGTGTATGGTTCGTTGGTATGCGAATAATAAACTCTGCTACCACAGCGTTATATCAAATTAAGAATAAAATAATAATTTGAATTTATTGATTGTAAAAATTCCTTATAATTAATCCAAATCTATTTTTTTTTCTTTCTCTCTTTCTAATCCCAATTTATTGGATTATTATGGAATTTACAATGCAGAGCCCGAAACAAAATCGGTCAGACTGTTGCAAGAGCACGTGTTGTCCTTGCTGCTTTGCCCGATGCACCCGATTCACCAGAAATAGCAAAAGCTAGTGATACTGAAATTTTGCTACGCTGGAAACAACCTCGTGATGATGGACACTCGTCTGTCTTGTGCTACAGTCTTCAGTACAAAAAGTCAAGTAGCGACAATTGGATCGATGTCGCCGATAATATCGATCACGAATTCTACTTATTACGTAATTTAGATGAGAAGACCAATTATCAATTCAGACTGGCCGCCAGAAATCGAATTGGTTGGAGTGGAATGGGCATACCAAAAACCGGAACTACAGATGCTAGCGGTGCACCAAAAATTCAAATTACCAAAGCCATGAAACATCTCCAACAATTAACTGATTCTGGCCATAAAATCACCGGTGACATCGACAGACATGAAGTTGATTACAGTTTGGAACGCTATGCTTTTGACTGGAAAATGGAGTCTCATCTACAAGAGAAATATAGCTTTATTTCAGAAATTGCCCGAGGAAAATTCTCCATTGTTGTAAAAGGTGTTGAAAATGCAACCGATAAAGTTGTAGTAGCCAAAGTGTTTGATTTTAATGCAGCTACAGAAGAGGCTGTCCAAAATGAATTTGAAACGTTCAGAACATTACGACACGAACGAATCCCCGCATTATTGGCTGCTTTTAAATTACCAAATCTTCCAGTTGGCATACTTATTCAAGAAAAACTACAAGGGGCTGATGTACTTACATATCTTAGTAGTCGTCACGAATATAATGAGCAACATGTTTGTACAATCATCACTCAAATACTGGACGCACTGCAATATTTGCACTGGCGTGGCTATTGTCACTTGGACATTCAACCAGATAATATTGTTATGGCATCGGTCCGTTCTGTTCAAATCAAATTAGTTGATTTTGGAGCAGCTCATAAAATATCAAAAGTTGGAACCGAGGTACGAGTGCCAAAGAACGTATGGTTGGATACAGCCGCGCCAGAAATTATTAACAACGAACCAGCATTCCCACAAACTGACATCTGGTCTGTGGGTGTACTTGCTTATGTTTTACTCTCGGGCACGAGTCCATTCCGTGGATCGACACACGATGAAACCAAACAAAATATATCATTTGTTAGATATCGCTTTGATAATTTGTATAAGGAAATAACGCAAGAAGCAACCCGATTCATTATGTTCGTCTTCAAGCGCGCACCAAAGTAAGTCCAATGTTTAATTAATTATATTAATATAATTATAAATACTTCAATTATTTTAACATTATTACAATTGCTCAATATAACTCCAGCAAACGTCCATATTCTGAAGAATGTCACGAACACCGGTGGTTAGTCTCCTCGGATTACATGATAAAGAAAAGAGAACGAGCTGTATTTTTAGGAAATCGTTTGAAAGTACGTTTCATTTTTACAATATTTTCCAAAAATATATTTTTTACGTTACTTAAATTGTTTTTAACTATTCTTTGTCGTTTAATTTTAGGAATTCTCTGAGGATTATCATGCGAAAAAATCACTTGATGCAACTGTATCAGAAAATGTTGCAGGCTCAATAATTGGCGGTCGCACGCTCATGAGATCAAATAGTATACAAGATGAATTGCTAACCACATTCTGATTTACATAATTTTATTAATAACCAAAACCAATTATAATTAAATCAAATCATCACACAAACAAATGCGCTATACATTTTTTTGTTACAGCCATATTTAAACGTTTTAATTCTTTTCCTGTGAAAATATGGAACAAATAGTTGAATAAAATGCTATATATTATTAAATTGTATGTGAAAGATTGTATTAATTGCAAAACCGTTGCACAGCTAGCGCTACTACGGACAACTATGGAGTTCTGGCCAGTTGTTTG